CTTGTCCACGGAGGCAGGCTCGTACTCCGAGCATCTTACACAGAGGCTCTGCCACCCGGTCTCTCTAGACCCCTGTTCTATCAGGTCCTTCATTCCCCTTCAGTGACAACCAAAAGGAGCTTCCTGAGGGTGTGCCTGAATTCCCAAGGATTCCTGTTGGGCTTTCGCAGATGGCTTTTCAAAACTTCTCTAGGCTGTGTCCCTGGTGGAGAGTCTGGGGACACACAGTGTGTTGGAATCAAGCTAAAAGGGCCCCTTTGCCAGTCGTGAGCACACCGGTGGGGTGGCGTGTGCCCGGCGTGTGGACCTGCCTTGGGGACTCCTGTAGCGCAGGGTCCACAGCAACAGGGCCAGGTTTGGGTCAGCAACAAACCACAGCAGGGCAGGCGGCCTGCAGGTAGAAAGGCCCGGGGCTGGGGTCGGTACAGCAGGTGCAGCTGAGTGGTGCTCTCCATCCCACCAGGAGCCCAAGGCAGGCAGCGTGTATATTACTGAACCAAAGTTGGGAAGAAGGGCAAAAACAATGTATTGGGCGATCACAAACAATGCCCCTTCTCCACCCTCAAGAGCCCGACAGGGACACAAAATCAGACTGAATAAATCAGCCCAGCGCCAACCCGGTGGATTTTCAGGGCTCTCTGGATGGCCCAGAATAAGGGGGCTAGTGTCATCCTGAAGCTGAGACAAAGGCCACCATGATTTTCCCAGGGGCCCATTTAGCATGTGCGAGCCCTACCCCCCCAGCTCAGCCTCAGGATCCACACCTTCCCTGGAGCAGGGGATCCAGGTTCAGGTCGTAATTGTCAATTCCTCCGTTCAACTTGTACCCTGTTGACACTGGAGGTTCCCAGCCGCTCTGCTGGCCCAGACAGTTACTAGGCTGTAGCTGACCTTGAGAACAAAGGCATCTATGGTCTCTGAGAGACTTTTTAAAAATCTCACTGACTTGGAGATTCATCTCGTACACTTCAATGAGCAATTACAAACCATGCACATTTCTGGAAATGCGCAATTTTTGACAAAACTGACGGGAAGGAGGGATATTTCTCAGGATTTCCGAGAGAAAATCACACTCAGAAGAGATGTATATCTCTCTCAGAGTAAGATCTAAAATCCTACCCACAGCCTACATGGTCCTCCGTGAGCCGCCCCTGTCCCTCCTCACCTCCCCTCCTGCCACCTGGCATCATGTGATCTCGCTCCTCTCCAGGCATACTGTTCCTCTTGCAATTTGTCAAGTATGTCAGCCATGCTCCCATTCACTCTCACCTCAGGGCCTTTGCACCTCCTTTACCCCCTGCCAGGAATGCTCTTCCCCAGCCATCTGCCTGCTGGCTCCTCTGCTTCATTCAGGACTCACTCCAGTGTCACTTTGTCAGATGAACCTTCACAAGAAACACTCACTTTCTCAAGTCTGCCGCTGAAGCTGACCTTTTTATTCTTATTTTATTAATATTTCCAAGTTGAATTTTAAGTTAACTTGATGAATCTATTTAAAGTCTTATTGATGACATATGCATTTTTATTTAAAAGAGTAAGTGCAATGCCATAAATCTACTTCCCTCTTTGTTTTTGTTTGTTTTTTATTTTGGTTCCTTTTCCAAATGTCCTTCCTTTTGCTGTGCCTTCCAAAATTGAAAGCCATGGAGTCTGCCTCTAAAAGGAACTTTTGGGATCAAGTATTAATTGATCCCATTGGCACGTTGGAAGGCGAAGTCGACTCCGAAGACAATGTAAGTTGGATAAAAATTGGAGCCCACCTTGCTCTGAACGGCAAAGCAGGGTGGCCTGGGGGCAGCTGGGAACTGCCTCTTGAGCCCCAGGATTTGTAGTTTCATTCTGTTGTTAACACAACCGAAGTGAGCTTTTCTTAAAACAGATATAACTTTAAATGACACACATTAAATCAAAGACGGTCAGAAGAAAGCCAAATGTGGCACTGCAAGGCCCTGCTTTCAGTAATATGAACAACACACCCTCAAGATTGCTTCTGAAGGCAGCAAAGCCAAAAACAAAACATGTAACTTACCTAGATGTCATGGATATCTAGATATCAGGGCAAATTGATCTTTGTAGAAACCCTATGTAAAAATGAAGTTAGATTCCAGAAAGATGGACTAGATCTACTCTTCCCACTAAGTACAGCTTAAAACCCTAGACGTTATATACAAACAAACACAAGAAGCTTCTGAATGCTGGAGAGAAGAAAGCAGACCGGCTAGGGACCTCGGGACTCAAGAAATGATAACAGCAGTGAGTTTCCTGAGTTTTTGCTTCATATATCCTTGACTGGGTGCTAGAAAAGACAGCAGCCAGAAACCCCGACAAGCACAAACACACACCCCAAGGAAGTCTTTACTGTATACATTTTTTGCCTGCTGGTACAGCCTGAGTGGCTCTAATTTTCTGTGTCAACTTATCTCTAAGACTTACAACACACTTTGTTTTGCTTTATTTTTTATTGACTTATAGTTGATTTACAATGTTGTGTTAGTTTCTGGTGTACAGCACAGTGATTCAGTTATATATATATGTGTTATTTTTCAGATTCTTTTCCATTGTAGGTTATTACAAGATACTGAATATAGTTCCCTGTGCTGTACAGCAGATCCTTGTTGCGTATCTATTTTATATTAAGATTTACAACACATGTTGATTCGGTTTTACATTCTTTTAACTATGACTAAGAAACTTCCTCAGGATTGTAGGTACCAAGTACATCACAAGAGTGAAATCTTGCATTCCTGGAACTCAAAATTAAGCAGACTTTTTTTTAAAGAACAAAGTTAAGCAGATATGTTCTTTCTAAACTTGCAAAGGAAAAGGGAAAAGGCCTAGGCATTTAGGGGTCTTTTTGTAATTTTAATTGGTAAATTTTCTGGTCTCAGTTCCTATTTAGCCATAAATTCCTTATTTTCCAGACTTGCTTCTATACACACTATATTAATGAGAATTGCTTTTCGAATACTGAAATACCATGTCAAAGGAAGGAAAAAAGATGACTTGAACCTGGATTCACCGCACTGTTTTTACTAAGACAGGAAAGTAAACTCAGGCATTTTAGAAAGATTTCTCAGCAAGAGTTGAAATCAAAAGGAATTGTTTCATTAGAAACTTAAATTACTCAGAACCCTTCAGCAGGCCTGTCCGCTGAGGCTCTGCTGTATCTGGCGGGGCTGCGGTCCGACGGGGCTGCGCAAGGTCAGGGATGAACCCAGACACCAGGAGGGCTCCAGGTGCCGGGGGGCCTGCGCAGGAGCGCTCCAGTCACAAACACCTGGCCTCAGCATCTCAGGGGCTCTGCCCAGGTGACAGAGCATGGCTCACAGAGTTGGGGGATACTTTCCCCCTGCTGCCTATCCAACTTAAGGGATTATGAGGCAGCTTCCATGGCCCAGACCCTGGCGTGCTCATGATGGGCAGCCACGTAGCTCCAAGCTCTACAAATCTCATGACAGGAAGCAGTGCTCCTCCAAGCAATGCCACAGGTGGCAGATGTGGGTAAGTGGGGCCAGAGCAGGACAGAAAGCGTGACATAAATGCCACCAGGTACCTGCAGCTGAAAGACTTGTCTATATGGGCTTCTGAGGCCTTTTCAGGGGGCCACCAGAAGCCACTCAGGTACACACCACGGAGAGGACGCTGAGGTCCTCATATCTGAATGGGGGCTTTCAATCTACACTTTGGTTATTCCGACAATTCAGCCCCTTGACTGGTTTTAGTTCACTACACATGCTTGTTTTATTTCTGTGACACACTCATGCATCACACACCCTGCTGTGCAAATCCTTTTGGTTGTAAGAACCAGAGATTTACCCAGGAGGAATCCCAAGGCATGGGAGGACTCATCACTCAGGGGCCCAATACATCTACGTGACCAGGAGGATTATTCCCCTCCATAGGTTGGGGAAGCAGATGGGACAAGCCTCCCTCAATGGTGCTGGAGAAATTGAGTGGGGTGACGCCACCTAGTTGGGACGAGAACTTCAACCAAGCGGGTCTGCTGTCTGGTGGACCACAGTGGGCACCCTATTTTCTGGTGAACAAAACATGGAATCCAAAGGGGCTGGTGAGCGACCACTGGCCTGGGCAAGTAAGCCGTCGCTGCATCCCAAGGGAGGGATTGTCAACAAAAAGGAATTTAGAGGCAGGAATGTTGGCACCATAAGCCTCAACCTCCACCTGCCCTGGAGCACTGATTCACTCCAGTAAGAAAAAATAAACTAAGGCCTATTAAAATCTAAAGAGTTTATTTGAGCCTCTGTGGATTCGAATTGGGCATCGCCAAACTGGAAGTGGTTAACCACCTTCTACCAACAGGCACCACGTCCAACTTAGAGCCTCCTCCAACTAATGGCCTCGGTGTTTAATTAACAAACAGCAGCAATGAGGAGAGGAGCATGCAGAGGCTGGGAATCAGGCAAGCTGGGCCTGAGACACTTCAGCTTTTCCTCAGCCTAGAAAAACCAGCCAACCACAAGCTACCTTCTTGTATCTGTCCCAGGTCACATGCACTGTCTATAGGAGGCTTATAAGTCAGTGCCTACCTTACATTCTCAGATGCTAAACAACCTCGACCTGCAGGTGGGCAGAGCAACGTGAGAGACCCATGGTTTTCCTGGACAGCAAGCCGAACTAGCAAAAGACATCCAAAAAAGAAACTCTTGTGACCAAGCCCCCGTGGGTCAGTTCTGGTTAACATCACGGACTTGGGGTAGAATGATCAAATTTACAAAATAAAAAAGTAGCTATCAACGTCATTACTTTGGAAGAATCTTTAAGTACAGATCCGTCCCCTACAAGAATGTGCTAGGCTGGAATTTGACACAACATTGTAAAATGAATATAACTCAATCAAAAAAAGTTTAATAAATAAATAAATAATAGAGTAATTAATAATAATAATAAGAAGAAGAATGTGCTAGGTGCTCCCTGCTTTCCTGAAGAACCTTATCCTTCACGTTGAGTAAGTAACCACTGAGAGCTTGGCCATTCCTGAAACTCCAAACACCTGTTATACTCTTAAGGCACGGAAGCATTTTTCTGTTCTACAGACATCTCCACACTTGGAAAAAGAGGATAATTTTATGCTCTCAAAAGATTTCTTGGTATGCTGCTATTTAAAAAAATCCTGAGGGAACTGGGGAATGAGGAGAGAGTATAGTCATATTGGAAATAGTATTTAAAACAAATCCTCCCAGCCACTGTACTGTTTCCACTGATTGTCTTTTTTGAATAACATGTTGAAATCTCATCTGGCACCTTAGGGAATCAGAAAAGTGATCATTCGTAAACCATTAATTTCCATTTTCTGGATATATCATCTGTGGCCCTTCTGTAGGTTTTTACCAGCTCCTATCAGATGGTGTTTAGGACCACGGTCAAAGAAATGGCTGTTCGTGACGAAATGGAAGAGGATATTTACATTCCCCTCACTGGTCATCTGGAGAGTGAAACCAGAAGGAAACTTGGAATTCTGTAAGTGACTGGAGAGATCAAGCAATTGGTCAGTGAGTTCAGGAAGGCCAGAGGCAGGGAAAGTGTAGATTGGGTCACCAGAGAAGACAGCAAGACCAAAGTTGAGCAGGTCCCCTGAATCAAAGGGCAGGCACAGGCCAGGCACAAGAACAAGGGTAAGACTTGGGGTCAGGGGGACAGAATGTTCTGGGTACTGAAACTCAAGAGCAAAGAAACCCATAAGCATGGAAAGTGCAGGACAGATCAAAGGTGGGCGGTGACAGAGGTTGGAAGTCCAGGGCAGGAATGAACTTGAACGGAAGTCTGGGAAGCAAGGCTCAGACCCCTGGGACAATGGGGGATCAAGATCCTTAGCATCTGCCCAGGAAATTTCTTAGCTGTCTCCTAGGCTAGCCAGTGCTTTCCCATGCTCCCTGGGTGGGGAGAACCCTGAGTGTCACGACCTGGGATTCAGGCTAGAGCCCCTATGTGGAGTGCAAAATGATAAGGTTATCCCAGACTGTTGCTAGCACCACATCTTTCCAGCTGGCATGACCCCAGGTCACAAAATGTTCCAGAACCATATTTGTACATCCAGCCTGTGGTACACGGAAGTCTGGTTTTTCACTTCTCCAGCTGTCAGAAACCTTGGCGAACAAGGTGCACACTCAGGCGTGCAGCGGGTCTATGCAGACCCTCCCTCAGCGGCACCAAGGATCAGGCTGAGGGGGATGGGGTGTCCTGCATAACCTCCTCAGTGAGTGGATTTTCCCAAAATTCAGGATTAGAGATTGACTGCCAGCAGCTTCTGCTTTGGGCTCAACAGTAATGGGGTGAGAGACCCTCAAGGCTTCTCTAGGAAAGGGGAAGGCAAAATACACAATGTAAAACCCAAAGAACATCGAAGCTTTCAGATCCTTATACAGCAGCAAAAACAAATGCCAAATAATATCTGGGTAAGTCATCCTGCACTGTATGTAAGATTTTCTCCCCTTGTTTCCCATTTAAGCCTATAAGCAAGATTCCTTCTAACCTAACTGAACTCAATGGATATTTCCTGAGCACCTACTGTGTGCTGAGCTATGCAGTAGTGTATACCCAGTCTCTACCACTGAGGAGGTAGCTAGTGAGGATTCCACTAGCTTGCAGAGGTGGGCCAAGAGCCAAAGAAGAAACCTTCCTGAGAGGGCCAGGGGTGCCTCTGGCTGGATTCCCCTACTAGAATTTAACTCTTGCATGCACGAGGCATCCTGCTCTAACCCCATGAGGTAGGCTTTACCCCGCCCACTCCTCAGCCTTACTCGTTCACAGGTGATGGTGGGCTTAGGTAGGTGATTGCTGCAATTCTATTTAAAATGCTTGCAAATAAAACAAGCAGTACTTGGTAAAAAAAAATGGACTGTGTGGAGCTTATTCTCAAGTTCCACTATTGCTTTTAGAGTACAAATAGGAAACCTCTGTTCTCTGCCAGGCAAAACACCAGCCCTTCCCTGCAAAGGGTATTTGCTTCCTGAAGTTGCTTAGGGTTAAATTATTACACCCTCTTCAAGGAATCTGAACTGAGAACTTAAAATCTGTCATGTCAAAGGCCTTCTTCTCAGATCCAATTAAGCCTGGGAAGCTCACTCCTTCCGGCAGATTCCCCTTCAAAAGGGCTCTGATCTGAGAACTGGGAGAGGCAGGTGCCCCTGGAGACCACCCTTATTTGGAAGAAAAACAGTCCAAGCCGTTGAAATGCCAGGATGACTTGCTTTGTATACTGACATGAGAGGAACGGAGGGCTTGATCATTTTGAACAGTTGTGCCTTAGTGTGGCTTTCATGGTAAGCCATTTTTGAGTGAGTTTGAAATTTTCCTACCAAATGCAAAGGGGTTTCAGGTGGCTCTGTCCGATTCATAGACAGTGTTGTTTCTCTAAGCTATTTCCAAAGGCAGCCTTCACTGAAATATGCACAAGCAGTAGAAAAATCAAGCCACACGAGCTTAACTCATAGAGCCAGCCTTGCATTTGGACCTCCTAGCCCTTCCTGGCTCCCAAGAGGACCCCCTACTGGATTCATTTTGAAAAGTCTGGAGGCTAGCCCAGGCGCCCAGGCTGAAGGCCAGTGAGAGGCCGGGAGGGAAGCACAGCATCGTGCGCTGTCCTGTTATTCCTGAGAACAGACTGGAAGAAAGCTAGGTCCAAAAGCGGAGCCATCAATCCAGCTTCCCACCTATGGACCAGTACTGTGTGAGCTGTGTAGCATGATCTGTAAACAGGAATTTCGTCTCAGCTTTTAAAGATGATTCACATTCCTTTCAGGTTGAAGAAAAATTTTGAAAAATACAAGGAAATAATCCTCTGGATCATCAAGAAACGTGAACGTAAGAACCCCTCTCCCATTTTCCATCCCGTGACCTTGCTCTGCTGGGGTGTCTCTCCCTGCCTCCCACCTTCTGCTGTGTCCATAAAGGAGGCAGAAATGCTTGTTCCCTCACTTGAGCTGGGCTGTGAAGGTCTTAGCTGCTGGAGATAAAATACTAAGCAAGTGAGACCCAGTCTGGGACCTCGACGGGCTTATCCTTTGGTGGTAATGGCAAGTGGGTAAGGATAGACAAGAAAGCAGAGAATTTGTATATAAAATGGTTAATACTGGGGTGGGACGCAGATATCACAGGACCACACAGGAAGAGAGCTAAGCTAGACAGGGGCCGGCAGGGTGCGAGGGTGCTCCAAGAAGTCATTATAAACAGAAAGTTTAAGAAATAGCCCCTTCATCACTTGAGGTCCAGCTGTTAAGATTTGCCAAACATGGACGATGCCCTTTTTTTGGGCCTAATCATGGAAAGCTTCAGTCAAGGCTGCTGAATTCAGAAACTCAAAACCACCATATGGAACATCTTTCAGATCACTAGGTCCACAGAAACGGCAAGAATACTCATGGCAGACAGAGCTAATCAATCGTGGTGTTTCTTGTTGCTGAGCCAGGACACAGCCCCAGATTCCCTCTCCAGGAAATGCTCTTGCTCCCCAGTAACAAGGCAGCCCCTGACCTAACTCCTGCAGAGTAACTGCTAGAGGCCAGGTACTTTCACATACACGATCTGATTCCAATTAACCTTCATGACCAGGTGAAGCAGGATAAACAAACTTAGGCTGAGAGAGTAAGTGACTTCCCTGAGATCCCCAGCCACTGTGTGGGCATAAACCACACTCACACCAAAGACCTCTCAGGTCAGACCCAGAGCTCATCCCGGTGACCTGTTCAAAGAACAATGAAAGAAGAAAAAGGTCTTCTAAACCTGAGTCTCATGCCCGATTGGAGCTGGGAGGCTGGAAAAAGAAGGAATCATCACCTTCAGTTTCTATAGCGGGAGAGTCCCGCCTCCCACCAAGACTCTCACAACAGGGTACCCCCCAAAACAAAGATGCTCTGCAGCCAAAAACACAACAGTCTATTACACGGGTTATGTTATACTCATCTGTTGTTTCTATTTCTGTTCCCTCCAGGCTACAGAAGCCAGTGTCTGTCACGCTTTAGCACCATAGAAAAGCACACAGTAGACACTAAATAAGTGGTTTTTGAATAGATGCAGGCAGGCATGATTTTTTTTTTTTTTGCTCCTTTTAGGAGATTAAGGCCTTTTAAGACACTCTACTGTCACATACTCAGGGTAGGACTTCCAACTGGAGAATGAAATGTGACACGGCTGGATTCCTCCCAGTGCCTCACCACCTCTACCACCCAACACCCACTCCCTGCTCCTCTGGAAAACTGAAGCCTGGAACATTGGAGCTTTTAACACAGAAAAGCCACAATTTCCAACTGATAAGAGGCAACCCTTCCATATGCAAGCTATAGCCAGTCCCAAAGGAATCTCCCAGCCTCCTTTGGGATATAAACTCACTTCCGGTATCCAGACCACTGTCTGATATCGCAGGCACACAGCCCCCCATCTCTGAACCCTCTGATTTCTAAGCCAAGGCTGGCTTCACGGGCATGTGCCCTGTGCTTGTTTAATCATCCGCTGGCACTGTCTTGAAATTCTTAATAAATTTAGAACAAGGATCTCTGCATTTTCATTTTGCACGGAGCCCCTCAAATTAGGTCGCCTCTCCTATTCAGAGCCATCTAGCTGGGCGAAAAGAAATGGGAGAATATGACACAGCTCGTGTCTCAGGCCATCGGAATTCAAAGCTCCCCACGTGAGGGAACACAGGTCTATCGCCTGCCCTTCTCCGAGGCTGCCAGCTCCAGGCAGCCCCAGCTCAGAGTAACCTGATGGTCTCTGCAGGCAGCGTGATCCCACTTGAAGGAAACCGAGGCTCAGAAAGGCAGCCTAAAGCCCCCTCTAATAAAGGCAGAGTCAGAGGTACAGCACAAACGAGAAAATCCATGATTTTAGCATTCTGACAGGGATAAAAATGAGCATCTAATGTCCTCTTTTATCGTGACCGTTTCAGAAAGGCTTTCTATTAATTTCTACTTGATAATCAGGAACAGCAGCTGGGCTCACATCAGCCATCATTTCCACCAGGTCAACCAGTCCCTGAGTCTCGGAGGCAGACTGAGACGGGCTTCCTGACTTTTTACAAGGGCGTTTAAATGGCTCTGCCCCTGCCCACCTCTCTCGCTCCTCATTTTCCTGAGGAAAAGCTCCCTGTGTGAGTTCTAATGAGCAGCCTCTCTAGTTCCCCAGGTGGTTCTCCTTCCCCATCCCCCATCCCGTCTCTCCGTCCTCAATGACACCACCTAGACATCGTCTGTCCCCATGCCCGAAGATCTCCCCAGCCCCCTCGACTTCCATCTTCTCTCTCAGTCCTTTCTTCACACTGTTTACAGCATAATCTTTTTGTAATCTCCACTGGCCCGCCATTGCCTCCAGGAAAATCCCACATTCCCCATGTGGCTCCCTTTTCCCTCTCCAGACACACTGGCTTTTTTTGTTATCCATCGAATAGGCCAGGCACCCCTGCCCCTGGGCCTTTGGACTTGCTGTCCCCTGCTAGAGCGCTCTTCACTCCAATATCTCTGTGGCTTGCTCCTTCACTTTATCCAAGTCAGGGTTTCAGAAACAGTTTCTTTGGCTACCCTTTACAAGCCAGTGCACGTGCACGCACGCGTACACATACACATACATATACATACATACATACACACACACACTCACACCCCCCATTTTCCATCCTTCGCATCTTGCTTAACGTTTCTTCAGAGCACTCCTAGGCATTGGCATATGAAATGTTATACGGTCACTTATTTAGCATCCGTCTTCCCTACTAGAACAGGTAGCAGGGACTACGGCATCCCACACAACCTAGGACAGTTTTCGGCACACAGGTACACAACAGGTATTCAATGAGTGTATAAAGAAATGTTCTAGCCCTGCCGGCCTCTCCCGAGTCATCTGCCATCACCAAGCCGGTCCCACACTAGCCTTCAACCACGCAGGGCATAATCTAGGAACTCCACCTAGCACAGAAGAGGCAACTTCCACTGGGAGTGTCCTCAACCTCCAGGGCTGGTTACGTTCCCTGCGAGCTCTGGAGGCACCCTCTGTGTTGGTTCGAAACCTCACAGTTCCTCGGGTGAAATCTGAAATTAGCCCCGGGGGGAAGCAGGCCTAAGAAAGCGGCAGCCCGCTCCAGGCTGGTAGGTGGCGTTTTAATAAGCGCGGTAACATATCCGAGGCTTGTCTTGGTCGACGCAAGATTAGATTTCCACCGGTGCCCACCAGGACTTTAAAATTTAGACACAGGCCTTACCTGGCTTCAGGCACGTGTTCATGCAGATGGGCTCAACAACACACACTGCTCTCCGGGCTCTCCTTTCAAGGCTGCGTCCTTGAAAAGGGCTCCCGCTGCCGGAACCGTGGGCGCAACGTGCCTTCCAGGGCCAGGCGAGGGGGTGGGGAGCCCTCCATTGCCCCGTCCAGCTTGCAGGTCCAAAGGCGGCCACGTCCTCCCCGTGACCTCCTCCAGCACTGTGCCGGCCCCAGTGGTGGGGCC